AATGTGTTCTGCGCTATCTTTAAAATATTGATTTTTTAATTTTGGGCTGGAAAAGTGGGGGTCGTTTTGTACATGGGAGTGTCTTATTGTTGGAAAAATATGGTAGTTCTGCTGTGTTTCCATATTGGCCACAATAGCATGTTATTGGTGTACTGTCTCTTCCAAATGAGGCTAATGCATTTGGGATTGGGTGGATCAGTCCACAGACACATGTACAAATTTGCACTTCAGAACACAAGTGATTATTTCTTGGTCATGTATTGAGATATAAAGTAATCACAGAAGATTTTCCTAGTATGTTCCTATATGACTCTTTAATTTTGAATATACCCCAGAATCACAGAATGGTTCTGTGAATATTGCTTCATTTTTCAAACATTAAGATGTTTATTCCTTCCTACATAATCCATACATGACACCAGAATTAACATCAGAGAGGCATGATGTATCCCCAAGTTTAAGAAGAAGACACCAGAATGGTGTTACTACTACATTTATATGTTCTTTTAAAGCTAGTCCACTAATGGCTGTTTTTAGTAACCATATCAGGCCAGTGCATAATAACAGAGTCGTTAGATGGTACTATGGTATAAAAGTAGAGTCTTGATATACGTTACGTAGTATTAATGTTCATTTACTGTGTACAGTTTTGATTTTGCTGATTTTTTTTAAAGTATCTATTTTTTAAGGTTTGAAAAACATCAGCAAGTCAGAAGAAAATTTACAAATTCCAGGCCATCGTACTGAAGCAAATTATCGAATGTCCTGGATTGGTCCCGCAACCACAGACTCTCAGGAGACCAGAATTTCATTAATGGGATGTCCTGAAACAGAAAACTCTTCTTCTGAAACTGCTAGAAAGCCATTAGTTATTCCTACTGAGCCTGTATTCACAAGTCATGAATATGGTAGCAGTAACCAAAAAACATCTTTTTGTGAGGATGAAAATAATTTAACTGAACACATGCTACTGAGAATTAGGAAAGCATTTTCTGAATCTGGAAGTAACTTTCATGATTTATATGAAACGGAGACTTCAGCATCAAATTTACTAGAATTCAAGAACCTGGAACTAAAATTAAAGAAAGAACTCTCTAAAGCAGCAGTTCAGAAAGTAGATGTTAAGCAGGAACCTCGGTTTGCAAATTCGGTCACTAAATCAAATACCATTGATCAAATCAAAGCTGCTAATGGACTCCTCTTCCAAAATAATAATACTGATAATCCAAACTGTGTTTTAAACCAAGGTGATGGATTAGAACAAGAGGACCAGTTGACTAGATCTCCTGTTACTCAATTAAATAGCATAAATAATGTGCAGAAGGAGATAGGGGAATCAAATAAGCAATTTATCCCTGAAAAAATGGAATCTAAATGCTTCAATTCAAAGAAAGAGACCTCTTTCTTGGAAGGTGGAGATAAAAATGACCAACTGTTTCTCCACATGGAAACCAATGAGAAATCTAAATCTTCACCTTCAGGAAAAGTGGCTGATCATATACATCGGTTCAACAAACTTTCATTAAATGAGCCATGTTCTGCAACCAAACCTAAGCCAGTGCTTAAGTTTCAACGTACCCCAGTCCGTCAGTCTGTAAGGAGAATAAATTCCCTCTCGGAAGCTCATAAACAGTCAGTTGCTTGTAAAAAACCTGGTGATGGCTGCACTTCTCTTGCTAAATCAGTGAGCTATGAAACTGCATTGTCCTCCTATGCAGTAACTATGGACAATACATCGACAACTTCACTGCCTTCTAAACTGACATGCAAAGAAAAGCATGAGCAGTTGGCTCTATCTTCCAAACCCTATCCTCAGTTGATATATCCATCAGTGCAAACCATCAAAGAAACATTTACTAATAATAATTCCAAATCTGTCCTTGAGGACTTAACTAACCATGAAGCACCAAAAACTCTTGTAAAAATGAGCACAAGCTTAAATGCTTCGGTGGGTACACCTGATAAATATGTTCTCAGGAAAATGGCAGGAAAAAAGTCTCGGTATAGAGGGTCACCAAAAAACCCAATCCCCACAGCAAAACTTCTTCCAGCTGTCAAGCCTCTTGACTTATAAATTTAGTAGTTTAATCCCAGCCATATTTCTGTGCTCTTGCATCTAAGCTTGCATATGTAGAACTGCAACTTAAGAGTCGGATCCAGAATCTGCTCCCCATGGAAAAAGGTCTAATTCACAGAGAGCTCCCACTGGTGGAAGCTGTTGGTCTCATTTTCCCTTCCCCTGAAGTCACTTATGCTTCCCAAAATTTGCACAGGGCTGAGGAATTCTCAGTAAACAGTAAAGCAAATGCTGCTGTGTTGTGCAGAGGGAAGAAGAAATTGACAAAGAACATTCTGAGTGGAACTCTGCTTAGAATATTCCTGCTGGCAGAAAAGTTCAGTCCAGCATCTATCTTTCTTTAAATTGTCTTAAGTATGTCTCTCTCTCGAATTTATTTGGGAATGAAACTTGAATAGGTTCTGTTGAGTAGCATTTATTTTGCGGATCCTAATTGGTATTTGTTTTTATATTTTACCAAATTTTAGGGATGAAAATTGGGAAGGGCTGCTAACTATTATTTCATTCAGAAATCAAAAAAAGGATCAGTTTCTAGAAAACAAAAAGCTTAATGCTACATTTGTAATGAAGTACAAACTATATTTGCAAAATACTTAGTTTACAGGCTAACATTTGCAGTGTGCCACACTTTTCTGCAATATTCAGTTATCTATAAGGTTTGTATCTCTGTAAGATTTATTTTTGGAACTGGTAATTGAGGTCCTCTGTGGCAATAGCAATTGTACTTTGTTCATACTTGGACATGTGCACTTTTTTGTTGACTTAAACAAATGACCATTGAAATGTTAGGTACATTTATCAAATTATCAGATTTTCTATAATTGGGATGGAGGTGTACTGAGAATCCCAGCACAGCAAATGGAAGAATGTTCCAGAGCTGCTGGATGGATGTTATTTTCTATGTTCTATACTGGGGGAGTAGAGGGTAGTGAAAGAATTTGTTAGTGTTCATTTTCTCATTACTGTAATACAAGATATTGTATAATTCATGAAACGTGCTATTATGTTATTGAAATACATTGTATAAAGCCATACTGTTCAGATGCACAGCATTTTGATCAATCTGCTCTATTGAAACGATTCATAATTGTTGTCTAGTATGTAAATTATTTAAATTTGAAATTTTTAGAATTTTAGTGTAGTTTGGTGAGAAGAATGCTAAAAACTCTTATCTCTGAAATAAAAAGCTTAATTTTTTTTCTATATTGCTTATTCTGTATTAAAAATTTTTATACATTGTGTATATATACTGCCTTCATGAAAAGCTGTTTATATTCAGTTAATGTTGAAAAGATCTGCAATACTGCTTTAGTAATTACATTGATGCATTTTTTAAAGTACTGTTTCCTTCAAAGTGCTAAATCAGCATACCCAGAAAATAGGGTGCTAATATTCAAAAAGCCATTACCCAAAGCTCCAGTAACTGATCATTATGGAGCAAAGAAGGAATCAGGTATTTGGAAAAAGTGGGAAAAATACCTATTTTTGAATGTGAAGTTTTTATAACAATAAGCTAGAATATAAGGAAGTATGTGCAATTTGAGACCTGCTAATAAGACTTACCTACAATAAATCCAGCAGTTTTTAGATTTAGGTCCCTCTCACTCCCAAACCCATTCCAAACATTTTCTTGTTTCATCTTCTTTCACACACCTTGTCCAAACAAGGAGTTTGGTTTATGTTAAGCTGTTTTCCAGTAAGGTAAAATTCCAAGGAACCATTGTTAAATGGGATTTCATCTTGACAACTACAAAGGATGCAGCCAGCTGTGATATAATGAAACTTTTTTTAATAAATGCTTTATTGCTTTTTAATTAATAACAAAAAGGAATAGAGACAAGAAGAAAGAATACATTAAAAGGTATTACAAAAAAGTGACAAATACAAGAACAAATTAAAAAAACTAGTATGCCATTATACAGTAAATAGTTACACATCTATATATAGTTAATGCAAATATTATTCAAAAGCATATATATTTCCAGTACATTTATATAACTCATTTTTTAAAACCTGTATTTTGTATAAATGAGCCCCATATTTCATTATACTTGTCCATACAAAGTCTATGTAGGCAATTCACTCATAAGTGGCAAGCGCAATCAGGTCTTCAGTCCATTGAGTGAATGGGCCCATACATTTATCTTTCCAACGTTGCAATATGTCTTTTGGCCAAACTAAGAGCATGGAGAATCCATTTACATTGTTAGGATGTGAAATTCCATGTACTAGGTATATAGTTCAAAAGAATATTGTCTTCTGAAAATTTTAGCTTTTGTTGCACAATCTTGTGATAAAGTGAAACTTTCTGCTAAGAGACATAAATAAGAAAGCCCTGCCAAATAAACATTTTAGATTTTCATGAATACATAGATATTTTCATTACAACAGGCTATTGGATTACTACAATCATATGAATATAATCTAGTCTGTTCCTTCACTAGCTTACTATAATATGTTATCAACCTTGGTCATAGCCACACCACATGCAATATTCCCTGCTAGTATTAAAAATAGTAGTGGTCATTTTGGGGACATTTTGGCCAATATGCCAGAAGCACAAAAAAAAGCCCAGTTTACCCCAAACTTGCTCATACTATTCTATGTATGTTAGGGGGACTTCTAAAGATTACCTTGCAAGCCAATAGACTGTTGCCTACACCCCACCAACTAGGAGTTTCAACTAGATTTCCTTTTTTAAAAAATGTATCTTTGTTTTATTTTGCTTACTATTTCTTTACCAAGAATGGGGCCAATAGGAAAGGGTTAGCTCCATCTGCTAGAAATAGTTCAAACCATTTTCCTGTTCTGTGAAAGAAACTCTGCCCAGTCTTTAATTCTACCTTCTAGGGAAAAGCAGTGGCTTTTCTCTCAGCTTGTTATTCAGAGCCAAGAACCAAAGGGAAGAAATAAGAAATAGGAGAAAAAGCATAAAGTAGCATAAGCAGTCAAACACTACTAATTAAAAGTGACTTTGCCATTCACAGGCAGCTTCCCTACAAACTAGACATTAGGTGTCTCTCTAGCATCAATAACAGCAGCCCTCAGCTGGAGCATCACCAGACAGTGCCAACAGGATCAACTGTGTGTATAATCAAGGTTGTTGCAGAGGCCAGGAACAATGAAGTCATCCAAGCTATGCTAAAGACACATGAACTAGATCCCTCCATCACTAGAATGGCTGCAAAAATAAAGGACTGATGGTTTGTCCACCCACAAAGAAAGTGGGAATTCCACAACTCTTCCCCCAGCCCCCCAAATGAGGCAACTCTAGAACTGAGTTGTGTGAGATATGAAGCTGCCTCTGGGGAATAGGCTATTTTGGAGCAAGCAGAAACCATCACCCTTTCTCCCAGAACTTCATTAAGCAAATTGTATGTTCTTCTATCCTCCACCTACTTGGAATCCTCACATTCTTGCAAACAATAATAAAACATCCAAAGAGGCATGAAGAGAAAAGATGCAAAAAGATGAAAGCCTACCACAGCGGTGTTAGCACCAAAAGAGGGGCTGACAGAGCACCTCACACTTGGGAACGTCTACCTTCAACATGCTAAGTGAGGAGGAGGAGAATTCCTCATATTCTACAAGCAAGTCAAGGAAAGAAGCACAAGGCATGTTGAAAACTTACTCATGGGATTTTAAGAGCACATAGGCGAAAAGGAAGAAAATACTAGGTGGTATCTGTATGGTGGCACATACATGTCCTGGGTGTAGAATGTAAAAAGAGGCAGGAAAACATCCCAGCCAACATGTTATAAGGAACTTAAAGGGGTAAGGAGCCTACATCCAAAATGTTGAACAGATTGTAATTCATGAGCTGAAACTGCCTGTCAACTAACCTGAGTCAAGGGGAGTATATCTGTGTCTGAAGGAACTTACATACTAGTGAGTAACAGGCATTTATTCATGCAAATGGACAATGTTATGACCAATATAAAGTAGATAGCTAGGAAATCAAGATACCTAACTTACTCCTGCAGGCTGGATTTGAAACAATTATGCAAGAATCCAGAAACTTCTTGTAAATTACTTTTATTGTACACAAGCTAAGAAGCCCATTATGAAAGAATTCCAGCAACTGCTGGACTGCAAGTTCTATTTATAATAATCAAATTTCTTGCATCTTTTTCTCCTACCCACTTTCTGAAATGTGCTAGAAACAATTATCTTTTGAGGGATAGTTTCTGTTTGTCCTTTGTTTTAGTTATAGCCTGATATAGTATCATGCTACTTTTGCTGAGAGCTGCTCTCCTGCAAAACAGAAAACCAAGTCACATAACCCACCATCAGTAGATGGTCAGGAAATGTATTGCTCTGGTATACTTATTTAGTAAAAACCAACTCCCCTCTCGTATCACAGCACATTCAGCTGGTGGGCTGCTGCATCAAAATAGTAGACCCCAGTGCTTTTTAGAATGTATTTTAACCCGTACTGTACTGATCCTCTCTTGGAACACTACTGCAATATAACCCTTTCCTACTGCCTCTATCTTCAGTGATTGAGAATGGTAGTTAAATTTACCATAAACTACCATTGGAATCACCAAGAAAGGGACAGCAGTGTTTTCTCACTGGCCACATTCACCATGGTAGCCATAACTGGCTCAAAAATAACAGTAATCCTGTATATTCCAGTTAAAGCGCATCTCCTAAGAATGTCTATCCTGATTAAATCTCCTAAGAATGTCTATCCTGATATTGTCTTCCCAGATAAGTGCATAAGATTTCAGTCTTAATTTTTTAAATAATCACAGCTTTAACAGAGTATTTCTGCCATCTCTTGGTGTCATATTATATAAATATAAAATCCAAATTCAAACTGCCTATCCAGTATGGTCTGAGAGGGGGCTTACTGAGGATCCCACCACCCAGAGAATACCATCTTCAGGGACCATTGGTTTCAGCTTTCTCAGTGATGGCCCCAGTCCTTACTTCTGGATATCTGGAGCCTCCTTCCCATTTATTACATTTTCACAAAGCCATAAAAACATGCCTCTTCAGTCAATCATTTGGAGATGAGTAAGATCATGCTGACAGCCAGTTTTCTATGATGGTTTAAGACACCAGTTGAGAAACTAAGGCATGAAGCCAGTTGGATGACTTTTGGCCATTCACTCCCTCTCAGCCCTAGGAAAAAGGCAATGGCAAACCAGTTCTGAAAACATTGCCAAGAAAAATGCAGGGACCCCTCAGGCAGTTGCCAGGAGTCAATGCTGACTCAAAGGCACTAAATAAATAAATAATCATGCTAGCACAAATGGTAATACATTTGATTGCTTGGTTATAATTATATTAACTGCTTTTTGTTTTTTATTTTCTGAAATTAATACTGCAAGCCACCAAGTGTTTCTGAAAATATAGTGATACATAAATTGTTGTAATAAATAAAAATATATTTCAAAAATAATGCTATGTTAAAAATTAGAAATTGAACAAAATGTTCCTGTAAGAACGAGATTGTGGTGAATCAAGGTATTTTATTGTTCAAGAAATGTATACAGGTGTTAATGGAAGGCTTTCCTTGCTGGTTTAAATCCATGCTGCTACAGAAAATCCTTCCCCTTATTTATTCAAATCTCTTTTCGAATCAGGAAGATAAGTGTGGATGACATATTGGTAGGAAGTAGCATGTATCTCTGTACCCACTCTGAATCTTAGAAAAAAGTCACAGGTTTTCCCACCAGTGCAATAAGGTCTATTCCTTTCACATAGTTTCCAACAGCAGCATCATGATTTTTCACACTGGTCGCAGTGCTAATCTTGTCACTGAAAAACAGATTTCCCCTTGAGCAACTTAAAGACTACCAAATTGGTTATACCATACCTGGAGGATACATTTTATGGGATGTATGAGATGTTACCTCGAAGACTGGAGTGCACATACACACCTAGTGTGAATGGAGGTTAGAGAGAAATGAAAATGCACTGTCACTAGTAAAAAGTGATCATTAACAAAATAGAGAATAGTGTGTTTCGTGCATCATTCGACTCCACAATCTCTTTATCTCAGTTGCTGAATAAACTTTATTGAATTATTGAATTCATGCAACATACTAAGCCAAAAACAAGCCACATTTTGCCTTAGTGTGATGAACAAATCAGGCTGTAGGGATTTAAAAGCCTTAACCTTATTCAGACAATACAGTTGACTCTCTCAAAGCACTGCGCTTAGCTTGGGCAAACACATTAGTTATATAGAGCAAACATTGGCTGGAAGGTATGAAATCATTGCAGAGAATGGATTTTGAACCATCATTTTTACTTTGAGCTGAAATACAGCATATTGGAGCTGAATCAGATATGCAAATAACGTTTTTTCCATTGTAACTGAAGATCAAGTGGATTTATATTATTTTACCCCACGGCATTCAAGGCAGAACAAAAACATCTCACTACAGCATACAGTTTGATAACTAGGAGTCTAACCTTGATAGCCTCAAAGAGCCCACATGTTTTAAACACACACTTTTGAATCCTATGTGGAAGTTCAACCCATCAGTTACAATGGCCAGCCACCATGGCTAATGCTAAAAATTCTGGAAATTGAAAACCACACTTCTGAGAGGCACCCAGTTTGTGGAATCCTAGAGTGCGAGACTGCAGCTACAATACAGTAAAGCAAAGATGAAATAATTATAGTGGGATTGGAGGGATCCATGTTCAGATCCTCATTGGGTTAGCTCATTGAGTGATCTTAGACAAACCACTATACTTCAGCCTAATATCCTAGCTTCACAGGAAAAGGGAGCAAGAGTTCCTTAAGAGGGAAGAATAACCCTATGAATAAAAAAGTAGGTGAGACTGGAAAGGAAATGAGATTTGATCAGCTGTCCTCAATTTATGGTGGAACTGTAGTCCAACAAATTTATGCAGTACCAGCAGGGGAAGGCTGGAATATACTAATGCTTGACTTACTTGAATTTCATTTATATAAATGAATTCGTATGTATGCATGTATGTATGTATGTATATGGAAGGATCAGCTGCAAAGAGATTGGCAAAAAGCAGACAGAGCCGGCTTGGGCATCCTTGCTTTGAGGGCCTTCCCCGCAGCCTGCGCAATGGGAGGTGAAAAGCCCAGCTGTCAGGGGTTGCGATCTACCTCCGGGAATCCTGGCAACCATTCACGCACACGCCACGGACGGAAGGAGAAGCACAGCTAGGACTGGGGTGGAGGAAAGGCTGTGACCGCGGAGCTCCCCCAACACAGGAGTTCAGGTGCTGCCTCCCTTCTGGCGCTGGGCAAGCAAGCGGCACTCGGGACTCAGGCGGGAAGAGCGCAGCCATTGCGCTCGCCGGATCGGAGCGGTGAGTGCAGCACGCGCCGTTCTTGGGATGCCCGGGCGGTTCAGAGAGAGGACT